TTTAAAAGAGTAGAATAAATCGATTTCTAAGCACTTGGAGGAGAAGAAGGTGATTAGGAACAGTCAGCATAGATTCACTTGAGGCAAGTCATGCCTGATTAACCTGGTTTTCTTTTATGATGAGATACTGGCTTTGTGGATGTGGGGATAGTAGTGGACATAATATACCTTGACTTTAGCAAGGGTTTTGATACCGTCTCCCACAGCATTTTTGCAAACAACCTGAGAAAGTATGGGTTGGATGAATGGACTGGAAGGTAGATAGAAAGCTGGCTAGATTATCAGGCTCAGTGGGTAGTAATCAATGGTGCAATGTCTACTTGGCAGCTGGTATCAAGTGGGGAGCCCCAGGGGTCAGTCCTGGGGCAAGTTTTGTTCAATATCTTTATTAACCATCTCGAAAATGGGATGGTTTGCATGCTCAGCAAGTTCTCAGATGACACCAAGCTTGGTGAGGGTGTAGTAGATATGCTGGAGGGTAGGGCTAGGATTCAGAGTGACCTAGACAAATTGGAGGATTGGGCCAAATAAATCTCATGAGGTTTAATAAGGACAAGTGCAAAGTCCTGCACTTTGGACACAATAATCTCATGCACTGCTGCAGCCTGGGGCCTGACAGGTTTAGCAGCAGGTCTGCAGAAAAGGACCTGGGGGTTACAGTAGATAATAAGCTTGATATGAGTCAGCAGTGTGCTCTTGTTGCCAAGAGGCTAACAGCATACTGAGCTGCATTAGTAGGAATGTTGCCAGCACATCAAGGGAAGTGAGTATTCTACTCTGTTCTGCTCTGGTAAGGCCACATCTGGATTACTGTGTCCCGTTTTGGGCCCCCTGCTATAGAAAGGATGTGGACAAATTGGAAACAGTCCAGAGGAGGGCAACAAAAATAGTGAGGAGGCTGGGGCACATAATTTATGAGAACAGGCTGAGGGAACTGGGCTTATTTAGTCTAGAGAAGAGAATACTGAGGGGGGATTTAATAGCAGTCTTTAACTACCCGAAGGGGGTTCAAAAGAGGATGGAGCTAGACTGTTCTCAGTGGTAGCAGGTGACAGAACAAAGAGCAACGGTCTTAAATTACAGCAAGGGAAGTTTAGGTTAGATAAGAGGAAGAATGTTTTCATTATAAGGGCAGAAAAACACTGGAATAGGTTACCCAGAGAGGTAGTGGAATCTCCATCCTTGGAGGTTTTCAAGACATGGTTAGACAAAGCTTTGGCTGGGATGATCTAATTGGGGATGGTCCTGCTTTGAGCAGGGGGTTGAACTAGACCTCCTGAGGTACCTTCCAACCCTAATTTTCTATGATTCTATGGTAAAAAAGTGTCATGGATATTTTATGTATTCATTGACATTTATGCTATCATACACTTGCATGTGGTGAGTACACCATGTGTATGTAAGTCTCGGAGCACATTGATTTATATTTAGTTGAACCACCAAAAGTGAAATGACCTGTGGGTAACTTATATGACCATAAACTTATGAACCTACCACTAGCATTCCTGAACCTTGTTTTTATTTCAACAGAATTTGCTGTAGTACATTGATTTTCCCTGGAGGACTGCCATCAAGTACTGACGCAGCCCACAAGTGTTTTACTTGTAAGATCAGCAGGCACACCATCCCATGGCTCAAAGCCAGAGATTAACAACAGAGCAAAAGATTTTGATAAGTGTAATCACCCCTCTCCACATCTGCAACAGTAGAACAGCCAGTTGGCCATACCACTCAGCATCCTCTACTATAAAATGTAGATGTGTAGTTCACTCCACAATGATTCTCCTCAATCACAATGTTTTGAGCTTTATAACACACGTTAAAACAGAATATAAATGTAGCCCTTCAATATACAAGTTTATAACACTACTATCACTTAATAGTGGTTTTTATTGTATTTTCAGCTTTACCAGGAGGTAAAACTTAGGAGGGAGAACAATATGAATGCCCATGATAACAAGGCCATTCATAGCAAGATGCTGCAGCTGTCAGTATATTCTCCTGCTTCAGAACAGAATGACACAGCAGAACTGAACCATGAACACAAAGCAAATGACAGGATGGAAGGAGAGAGTTCACTCAGTAAAACAGGAGAAGAGTGGAAAGACACTAGAACCAAGAAGAAAAACAGTGCTTTAGTAAGGGACAATCTGACCTTTGAGGACCCTGAGGAATCTGAAGTCTGTCTGAGCCTGAAAACTCCTAAGGATGCCAAGATTTCTACCAGTGATCTCAATGTAGTAAGTACAAACAGTAGTGTGTTTCAATTACTACTCTACAAAAGAGGCTGATATCTTTCCCTCCACTTATACCCACCCAAAGTATATCTATCCCTTGCTTCTAATAGTGGAATAATATTGCAGCTGGGGAAAGCATCTCCTTCCCCCTCATTTTGTTACTGATGAGTTTAATGACATTTAATAAATGCATAAATCATATGTTGTTTACCACCTGCAGACATTTCTGTATCTTTCACTCCTACTTTCTTCTGCATAGGACTCTGACTTGTATATCAGGACTGTGTTTGAATAATTCTGCAGGTGTTGTTTAAAAACATGTTCATGCTAAAATAGCATTATTTGTATTTGTAAAGGCTCTTAAAGAACTTGCTAAAGTCAGTGAAGAATTATGCAGCTATCAAGAGGAAATTCGAAAGAAGTCCAACCACAGAAGGTAAACTACATTTGGCTTCTTTAGATCAGCGGAAGGAAAGGAACAAAAAGTCCAAACTTGTTCCATTCAGAATAAAAAGAATTTTGCTATAGAATGTACTTCTAGGTCCTAACTTCTCTAATTTCTCTTTATACAGTATAAGAAATTAAAACAGAACAATGCTTCAGTCTTTTTTCCTTGCAAAAAATCTAGCTTTATCTACACAAAATATAAACTTGGATTGTACATAGCTTTAACAAAGCCTTGCGAGGGAACAGAAAGGAATAAATACCCATATCTGCCTCCATCCCCTCCCACACTCCTTGCGTTTGGCCATGTTAGGGTTTCATTACTTTCAAAACAAATCTTTGTACAGGTGTTGGGGTAACTTCATGGGCAGAGTGCCAGTGGCACATCAGAAGAAACACAAGGGCAGGGAGTAGGAAGAACCATTGCTCTGTGATGCTCTGCCCTGTTTTAGACACACAAGTTTTGGAGACTGCTGATCATTTAGGAGGAAAGTAAGCTGCAGCCTGAAAAGAACAGAAGCACAGTATCCCTCCTATGCACTGCAAATAGAGGGCCTTCAGCCATGCACTGCTCTTTCTACAGGACTGTACATAATATACAGAGATAGTTGTTATGTAAAATGCAGAGATTGTGCCTTATCATGGCAGCCCTCTAAAAAGGATGCTCATCAGGGCACCATGGAAGAATTTTGCTTGAGTTCTTTGGTGATAGTGGGAAACACAGTCTGCTGTGGCAGCTTACTTTACCTTTTTCCAAACAACGTATACTTTTTCCATATTAGGTACCTGTGCCCATTGTGCCAGGAGCTTGCTCAGGCTCAAGAAGCATGGAGGAGCCCTTTATGGTCTTTCTTCCTGGCATATCCCTATGTGATCTGTGGATCAAAATGCAATTATTTTAGCATCCATGTCTATTAAGGAAATAGAGTCACAGAATGTGTAGAGTGTGTTAATGCATGATGGAAAATGTGGTTATTTAACAGAACCATGAGGACATGTTTGAATTGCTACAGTGGATTTTAAGAAATTTACACAAGCCAAGGGCTATATCTGGAGCTCTGCTAATTTAGGCAAACTTCTACTGAAGTCAGTCAAAATAAGAGGCCCCATTTTCCTTCCTACAAAAAATAAAGCATGAGGAAAGGGGGCAAAAGGGCAGGGATACACCGCACAAGCTTCCCTTTGCTGAGCTGCCTCCAGATTCTGTGCTGATTGGGTGGGAAGTCTTTCCTGAGTAAGTTATGTTATAGCAATGACTCCCTTCTCTAAGCTACCAGTCTTACAGTCCTTCCTCTAAGCACCTGTGCAGGGGAGAGTAGGAAGCTCTGCTGAGCTTCCCTGGGGAAATAGCCTCATCACTCATCCCTAAAAATGCTTCTCCTTTTATGCTTCTCCAGAATTAAGTCACTTTCTTTTCTGGGAGAATCTGAAGAAATGCAAAACACAGTAAGTATGCCTGAAAGGAACCATGTGTTCAGCAATGAACCTCAAATGGCTTCACTACCTTTTGAAATAGAGGAACAAAATAACAGAAAGAATCTGATGAGCTCCAACAGGAGTGTGAGCTCCAGTAGTACTCTTACTGGCAGTGGAGGAATAGACTTCATGCCCTGTCAAAGGAAAGAAGCCCCACCTGTCCCTCCACGAAGCACTTCTCGGCATCTGACCAACTCGCTCTCTGCGATTGTACAAGTTTCCGAAGTACCAACGAAAGATTCAGGCAAAAGAAGTAACGGGAGACTTCAGGAGTGCAGGAGTGAAAAAAACATCATTAAAACTTGTGCAAAACAGAATAACACTCCAGGGGCATGTGTAGATGAAGGAAAGTCTGTGAAAGGCCCCACACTGGTGACTGCTTCAGTAGATGTAGCCAATAAAGAGAGAGTCTCTGATTGCAATCGACTGATAAGCTTTTGTCACAAGACGTGGGGATGTGATGTGGGCAAGTTTGGAAAAAGTACTAAGAATGGGTCTTCCCCATTGTCAGCCCAGAAAAGCTGTTCAGATAGCAATATGGTGCCAAGTGAGAAAACACACCAGAGATACTATCCTACACCTCAACATGGTCTGCAGCACAGTAGTGACTTTTATGCTCCTACAACACTGCACGATGACCATATAGGAAACTCTGAATATAGTCTTGATAAGACCCAAAGAAATGAGACATTGGCAGCAAAGATTGATGAGTTTAATAGGACTGTATTTCATACAGATAAACGCAACATTTCTTTTCAGGAAAATACAAAGCTTCAAGCACTATCGTCAGAAAATCAGAAACCTGGTAGCCCACAGTGTGATTCTGTTGTTAACAGAACAGAAACTGTAAATCCAGCTTGTGACTCAAATCCCAGGCTCACCACAGCAAAGGAGAAGGAATCCTTCAATCCCAACAAAACAGTCAAAACAACAGGGCGAGAGAAGCAAATAAATGGACTTCCAAGCAGCAGTGGCTATCGGCACATGTTTCATGAGCATGACTGGAGGCCAAGTAATTTATCTGGTCGTCCTCGTTCAGCTGACTCAAGGTCAAACTATGGTGTTGTTGAAAAGCTTTTGAAAAACTATGAAAAATCAACAGTGACTTCTCTGTGTGAGACAAAAGGCTGCAAAGATAAGTGGACACAGTCAGAATCTGAGTGTACAGATCGGGGATTAAACCAGTATTTAGAAACACTCCAGACAGAGCAAGGAAAGCAAGAGCTTCAGAAGAATTCATCCAGGCATATTGGACAGCAGATCAAACAAGGGA